CAGGAGAAAGGGAAAGAAAAGAGAAAAAAAAACAGGTTTTTAAAGAGAAAGTCAAAAGGGGAAGCTGGCTTGCACGGAGTGCCATGCAAGAAAGCAGATTTTAACCCCCTAAACTCTAGGGCAGTTTCTTTCCTGAGGCTTCGGTCCAGCGCAGAGGAGCAGCTGCAGCTCAGGGAGCAGGAAAGCGGCCCAGATGGAGGCACCCTGGGAAGGGGGTGAGGAAGCAGGGAGGGAAGTGTCCCTTTGTCCTTTAAATCACCCCGTTCATTTCAAGCTGGATGGCCCTGAGCAAAACAAGAAACAAGGCACATTCCAGCAGAGCAGCAACCTGAAGGCATGTCCCATCATCTTCTCAGGACAGATTTCCTTGCACAGTTTGAGTGAGGGTCCAGCTGGTCTGTCCAGCTCTTGGTGACAGCCACCTCCAGCCTGGCACACAGGCACCCTCAGATGTTGCTCATGGTCACAGGAAATTAAAGATTAAACAGAGGCCACAGGGCTGCCTGCAATGCACTGGCCGGCTGGGATTGCTGCTCAGAGACCCACAGAGGTGACAGCCAAGTCCCACCATCACAAATGGGAAAGGGGTCCCAGGCTCCCCTGCCACCCCAACAGCCAGGGAAATAGACTCCAACCCTCACCCCAGACCTAAAACTCCACTGCTTGTCCGTAACTTAGGAAACGCCTTTGCCTGCAGAGGAGGTTAACCTGAGTCTGGAAGCTCCTCCCTGCTAAAGGCCTCTTTTGGGGCAATCTTGTCACCTGTGGTGCAGTGTCCCCACAGCCCACTGTGGGTTTGGGGGTCAGCGGGAGGCAGATCTGCTTGCTCGGGGCTGAGCGCTGGTGCCAGCGGCTTGAAACGCTCATCCTGCCCATCTCCTCCGCCAAGCGCCGCAGACACACAGCAACCGAATGCGTAATAAAACTTTCGTCCTGCTTTAGCCAGCAGTGAAATGAGTCCTGAAGCCTCTGCTACTGAATTCATGCATGCAGGGGGAAAAAAAAACTCCTATTACGCAGAAGAGCTGGACATGAACCAGTGACCTAGAAAGAAAAGCCTTTATGGCTGAGTCTGTCCTACCACCCTCCACCTCCTGGCCACCCTCGGGCCATCCAGCTTGCCTGAATTTTTCAGAGCACTTCTCAGAGGAAGTCACAAAGCAGAGGGATGTGACGCTGCACATCATGCTACCAAAGACAAGCAAACAAACAAAGCAAACGGAGCCAAGGGGCACGGTGCAGGTGGCTTTGCTGTGACCAGGCTCATCTTCAGCTCCAACCCTTGGCCCTTCAGGCCAACCCTTGCTTCCCATGAGGGAAGCACAAGTGGTAACACCTCATCCCCCACAACCAGTTCCCCAAAGAACCCTGAAGCAGAATCCCTCCCCACACATTCCTCACCAAACGCTGCACCACCTGTCAAAACTCCTTGAACCTATTTCCATCTTTGAACGACATCAGTTCCTTTCCTCCACCCTCGTGCTGCTGAGCACACATGGCCACTGAAAAGCCAGACGTAACCAGCAACATCAACCTGCGTGTTCCAGGAGGGCCCAAGGCTCCAGACCTCAAAGCTGACAGGTACCCATGCAGGGCAAGTGCCACATGCCGGGGCCACAACCAGGAGATTTTAACCACGAGAGTCTCAGGGAAGGTCCCATTTGGCTGCAGAGGTCAGAGGGAAGCTGTTGTCATTGGGAAGAGGAAGACAACAAACTTCTATTCAGCTTATGCTAAGGCCAAAGAGAGCCAGCTAGTCTGTCTGGCCCAGAAAACGCCCTGCCAAGCTGGAAAATAAAAACTCAAGCTCTTCCTGTTTTCCCAAGGCAGCAGGCGGGTTGCGTCGTCTGCTGCATTTGGGAAACCGGCCTATCTGTCAGCAGGCAAGAACCAGCATTTGCAAGCACAGCTCAGGATCTTCATGGAGTCAAATTAGATGCCCCACAGAGTAGAAATCATAATGCAGACATTGTTTGTGTCCCCGGGAGCGTGGGCGGCAGCCACAATTAGCCTTTGTCAACGCTGAAGCTTAAGTGACAGCATCGTGGCTGGGTTAATTCCAATGACTAGTACAAATACAGGGCCCTTATATTTCCCCACAATTTATTAACAGATAAAATTGCTTATTAAGCCCCTGCAATTTTCCATAGTTCCAAGTTGCCACATGCTGCTCACTGGAGCGCGGGTCTCGCTTTCTCTTCCCCTTCTCACAAGGATTAAGGCTGGCACAAGGACCAGGAAATCCTCACCATTTACCTGCAGCAGCTGAGGGCTCTCAGAAGCCCACATGGGATGATGGGCTGGCCCAACAGGCAGGTGTCCATGCTGCAAAGTCGTTGCCAGAGCTCAGGCCCGGGCACAGCCAGCCCCGGCACTGCCTCCTTCCCTCTTCTCTACCCACCAGTGACGGGATCACAAAAGACAAGATCCAACAGCGGGAGATAAAGCAGAGCTCAAGCAAATTTCTTTGGGTTGCTTTACAAGTAGCTAATTAAAATAATATTTCCATGATGCTTTTGTCCCCTAAAGGCTCACAAATAAGGTCTCTCTAGAAATAAAGATCTACACGCATACAACCGAGCAATCCCCTGGGGAGGGGCAAGAAAGCATACAAGCAAAAGCTGCTTTGTGAGAATGGAAAATGTCACCGGCTTTTAAATGGCAAGTGGAAATACAAGCAGAGAAACTCAGCCCACATACTGCAACTAACACCAAAGCCTTCAACAAACAACTTGCAAGAGCTTCGCTGACCACAGCGGTCACAGCCACTACTTAACATCCCGTGGAGAAAGGGCTCAGCAGGACGGGGCTGCAGCACCGCAGTCCAGGCAGCGCCAGCCCTGAGGTTACATTTGATCACAGAATGTTCAAGGTTGGAAGGCACCTCTAGAGATCAACCTTCTAGTCCAACCTTCCTGCTCAAGCAGGGACACCCAGGGTAGCATCCAGGCGGGTTTTGAAGACCTCCAGAGTAGGAGACTCCACAGCCTCCCTGGGCAGCCTGTTCCACTGCTCTGTCACCCTCACAGTAAAGAAGTTCCTCCTCACCTGGAGATGGAACTTCCTGTGTTTCAACTCATACCCACTGCCCCTTGTCCTGTCGCTGGCCACCAATGAGAAGAGCTTGGCCCCTTCCTCGCTACATTCTCCCTTCATGAACTTATACGTGTTAATCAGACCCCCTCTCAGCCTTCTCTTCTCCAAGCTGAACAGGCCCAACTCAGTCTCTCCTCATACGAGAGATGTTCCATTCCCTTAATCATCTTCGTCGTTCTGGTAATCCCGGCCCTCCAAGCAAACTGGATGGGCCAGGACACTTTTCACAAGTAGAAGAGCATCCAACACTTGCTCTTTTGCTAATAAGTATCTTTTTGTTTTAACAAACACAGCAAGCAAGTCTTCCTGTGGCACGCTCTGCTCAGGCTGTCATTGCCTTTGCTGCTCAGAAACGCCCCATTTTATACAGAAGCTGTCAAGACTACAACAAAAGAGCAGGGAACACTTTGGGATGGTGGCTGAGGAGGCCGAAGACACAGGCGACCCCACCAAAGGGAGCTGGTGAAGAGCAAAGTACTGGAACCACAGAAAACAAACGCAGCACAACCATTCCTCACTGTTAATGAATGACTAAACTGACCTTTACCCAAAACAGAGAAAGGGAAAGGCTTTCAAGGAGGATCAAGAGTGATTTCTCTATCAGGAACAATAAATATTGCCCTAGGTATGCAAGCGGATGCATTTCTTTCCTCAGTTGGCTTTAAGGCCAAGCACGAGAAGGTCTAATGCAGAGCAGAACCAGGTCCCAACACTTTCTGCCACAAGAAACACAAATTATATCAGTAAACTGAAAACATGCAAGGTGCCCCAGGCTCTGCAGAGCACAGCTCAGGCCTCATCCCGTCTGCCACTGAGGATGCTGCGGGAGGCTCCTTTGGAGAGCAACCCAAGTGCCATCCCACAGCGAGAGGTTTTCCACCAGGACACTCCTTGGAAACAAGGTGCAAATTTCAAGGAACCAGCTGGACGACATTACCTCCCCATAAAAACACTTCTATTCATCGTGTAGACAAACTTAATTCAATTCAGCGAGTTCACTTCAGAAGTGATTTAAGCTAAATCAAATCAAGGCTACTTAAATTCTGAATAAGAGCGTCTACACAGGGATTTGATTCAATTTCATCAATCCGCTGGAAAGGTTAACGAGATTAATTTTCTTGAGTAACCACATGTAGACAGACTGTAAGGACGAGAGGCTGGCAACGCTGAAATGGCCAATAACAATTTTACTAATGACTTAATGGGGCTAGCAGTAAACCCTAGAAGCTCAGCAAACGACCATTACTTTTCTTCCACGAGTAACAACCAAGAGAAGCACTAAACGATGAGGAGGCACCACGGGCTGCCTTTGCAGACACACACACCAGTTGGATCATGGATTCATGCTTGTTACTTCGTGGGAACCAAAACAGCAAACGGAAACCAGCAAAAGGACAAAAGTTTTACACGGGCAGCCGGTACTGTCCATAACTGCAGCTGATTTTGGTGGAACTTGCACGGATTTACGGTGCTGGCAGAAGGAGCAGCCGCTGCCTCGCGTGCTGCCCTGTTTCCCAAGCGCGGCGGCTGGAGGGCACCTTGCCCAGGGCCGCGCGGAGCCGCCGGGAGCCCCGCGCACACGCGGCCCGTGCCGCCCGCCCCGGGCTGCCCCGCGCGGCCTCCAGCGGCCCGCGGCTCCGCGGGCAGCCCCGCGCGCGCCCGGAGCCGGCGGCCCTGCCCCGTGGCTCCGCCCGGCCGGGCTGCCCCAGGCTCCCGCTGCCGAGCGGGGCCGCCGCGCGGACAAAGGGCTCCGCCACCCGCTCCAGCCTCCTCCTGCTGCGGGCGCCGCTCCCCTCCCGCCGCGACGTGCGGGGCGAGCCGCGCACAGCGGCGCCCCGAGCGACCCCAGCGGGCGGCGCCCGGCCTCTGCCCCCCCCCCGGTAACCGCCCCAAACAGCCCCTACCTTCCTTGACGCCGGGCAGCTTGGAGTGGTCGATGCCGATGCCGGCCATGCCGAGCGGGGCCGCGAGCCGCGGCGGCGCCGCCCGCGCCCGCGCTACAAACTTGCCCGCGGAGGGATACGCGGCGGCCGTACGGCGCGAGAGAGGGGACACAAAGCGCCGGGGCGGAGCGGGGCGGGGCGGCGGAGCGGGGCGGGGGCTGCGCTCACCACCCGCCCCCGCCCCGCCCGGGGGTCGCTGCTGTTTTAACCCCTTTCCCCCCTTTCCCAACGGGCATCAGGCGGAACTCAGGGATGGCGGGAACCGCCAGGCCGCCCCGCTTCTATTTCCTGTTACTTTCACTTTATTTCTTTATTTATTATTTTTTATTTATTTTTTTTTTCACTTGCTTCAGGAAGCTCCCGCCCACCCGGGCATTTATTTGGGTGCCTGCTGAGCCATCCGGTGCCAAACTCACCAGGCTTCGTGCCAGAGCCTCCCTGCTGACTCCTTACCCCTCCCATAGGGATCTGACACACAGGATTTGTATTTTTCACACCAAACTGGGAAATAAAAACACACCCAAGTCAAATGCCAGGTGAGCCAATGCCTTGGGATTTAACACAGCTATTGCATGCCCTGCATGCTGCCATTTAGGGAAGGAAATTAAAGAAGAAATTCCTTTTAGGAAAGGAAAATAAGCTAAAGTATGTGGAAAAGTGCCCTGGAATAAGCACTATGCAGGGAAAGGGCTCCCAAGCCCTGGACAAGCTGCAGCTCCGGAGGCCCTTGGAGCCTGGGCAATGCTCCACCTGGCACAGGTCAGATCCAACCTCCAGCACAGCAAGGCAGTCAGGAAGGGGGGCGGCAGCTGCCAATTACCTTCTTTAACCCAATTGCTGCAGGAAACTGATTTCGTTTCCCCACAAGACCCAGCTGGGGGGTTTAGCAGTGCCCAAGCCCCTCCAGGCTGTGCTCAGGCAGACCCCGTGCACTGTTTTGACCATAAATAAGTGCCTGACTCCGAGTACATAAGCAGCAAAGTCAGTCCTACTACACTTATCATGAGCAACCTGCAGCATCTGCCTCGATGGTCCCCTGGCTCTTGTTTCACTGCTGGGACCAGATGCCTCTTCCAGAGCCTCAGCCAAGGGGGACTCGCTTTTCCCACAGGTCTGGGTCAGGTTTCTAGGCACAGGGTGTGGGAGCAGGAGGTCTGTGCCTATCTCAGCCTTCCCATCACCAAGAGCCCCTGGGGAGGCTCTGCTGCTGCTGCAGGTGACTAGAGTCCCCAGGCCTGTGCCATAAACAGGCTGGGAGGAAGATGGAGTGGAATGAGGACTCTCCAAAAGCAGCAAAAGGAATAATACCTCCATTTTATTAAAAAGTATGTGAAAGAAATTGTCTTGGGGTCGGAGGGGAAAGATTTTTACACATGTTAGCTTCTTGCTCTTCCAGATTTTCCCGGTCATGTCTGGAAGTCAGGAGTTATTTCCCTTAATTCTACCCCTTTCAAAAAAAGTTTCCTCATCTCAAAAACACCCAGACTCTGTACTTAACTCACAGGTAACCAGAACTGCCTTTGCCTTTCTTGCAGCCACCCAGCCTTCAGAGAAAAGTCCCTGAATCATCCATATTCATAACTCCTTCTCACCTCCACACATCTAATGCACCTCTCGTGCTTGTCATTACACAGCCTGAGGGCTGGCAGGACGGTGGCACTCCGAGTATGAAGTGGCATCCTCAGTCACTCCAGCTATCCTGACAGCCCTTCATGTGCTCATACACATAGGGATTAGTCAGTGCCTTGTCCCTCCCAGCGGACAGCTCAGCAGATTATCTCCTACGCCAGCCTCGGCTCTGCCTAGCGGCTCCCTGTAATCCCCTGCCATTCAGCTGCACCTAGCACAGGCTGCAGGATGGCATTGCTTGGAGATAATCCCCTTGGCTACAGCCAGCTCCATGCACAGGAGCAGCCAGAAAGGCTGTTTCCCATTTATCCCCAAGTTTGCATTTTTATTAAGTCAGTATGATATTCTTCTGAACATCTTTTACTCTTTACCACCTCATTTTTTTTTAAGAAATCACTCTGAAAGTACTTTCAGAGACCAGAGAACCAAGAAGTAGCACATAATTTACAAATCTGATACTGATCATGGCTTTCAAAAAATGTGTTTTCCTTCTCTTAGTATAAGGTACTCAACAGAAAACAGCAGAAACTGAAAGCCTGAAACACTAACGTTTATACCGCAGCTCTAAGGCAACAAAGCCAGTTTCACAATTTACATTGCAAAGTACTTGCATTTACAAGCGTAACTTAAGCCATCAGTGGCAGCAATCCTGAATCTCAGGCCATATAGACAGATCTTCAGTCTTCAGCAATAAATTTCTATTCCATCAATTTTCCTGATTAACGCCCAAACCTGCAACGTAAAACAATCAAAATCTGCCCTGCATGCAGAACTACCAGGCTGGATTCATACAGTTTTGACTGATGCTAAACAAATTATGTGCCTGCTTACGTGAAACTTTGTTAAAGAGGTTGGTGCGTGATATTAGGTCATTCCCGAGGTTACTAGGCTTAGGTAACTACTACATAAATTATGTGGCTGTGTCCTCTCTCACCTCCTTTAATTATGCAGTGGTATTTGTTTTTCCAAGACTTATTGCAATGAGGCAATAGGAATGGGTCAGTGAGCTCCACCAGGATGCGGACAACTTCAGGCAGATACTGTAAAAGCTATTTTCCCCATTGCTGTAAATGAGGAAATGTTTCTAACTATCCGAGTACAGAAAGGCTAGAACAGGCTCTTTGGAGGGACACCAGGGTCAAAAGGTTTGTGATCAGGATTTATCAACACAGTTGCCTAAGGCTGGATCGTACACAGCAAACTTCACAGTTTTGGTCCTAGGCTCCTCACCTTAGTTTGATTTTGAGATATTCAGATGTAATATGAAGCTGATAGATGGCATTAATTGGTCAAAGAGGGTATGAAGAATATACAAGGATTCAAATTTAACTAAAACGAACATAAAAACAACTACAGGAGGACTGCAAATGAGGATTAAATAAGATCCAGAAAATGTGTTATTGATGACACCACCACTGCAGCATAATCAGGTCTCATGTTCCCACCAGGTTTATCACTGTGGTGGATCTCAGACCACCTTCCTGACTAACATTTGTGTCTAAAAGCTGCTTCTAGGCAAAAACTGTGGAATTTTGTTGCTCTGCTACACTGAAATCATCTTTTCCTGTACAAGTTATATGATATCTATTATATTGTAGTGGGCTAGTTAATCTTGATAAAACTGGAAAGACTGCCCTCTTCTCTTTAAGCTGATGAGATAACATTTCAATCTTATGAAAGCAGATATTTAATCCTATAAGACCTTCTGTCTGAAGACAAGATCATCTCATTGCCCAAGACAAAAGCACCAGAAGGAGATCAAATGCACGGCACACACACGTAACCCCTATTTCATGAAAGAATTCTGGTTGGGGCAAGGCAGGGGGAACATCTGCAAGGCTCTAACCCAAATGCTCAAAGCAAAACATAATGATCTAGCCTGGCCTGAAGAAAAGCCACAGTGAGCTTCTGGGTGCAGAGGCTGAGCAGGCAGGCAGTGGCTAAGGACCACGGGAGGACTTTATAGTGCTCGGTTCCTCTTACAGGCAGGCAGAAGTGGGTTTGTACAAGCTGCTTAAATGGGCACCTCTCCCACTGTCATACTGTCATTTTAGGTCTGCAGCAACTGTGAAATAAATTAGACTCCATCAAGATGTTCATTTTTCATAGAAAAGTTTATGTTGAAGTTACTTTAATGAGTACAAGGCTATTTCCCATGGGTGAGGCCATGACAGAAATAGACATGATCATTACCCTATAGAGACAGGGTGATACACATCAGTTAACAATCTAGGCAGAGTTGAAACATTCATTCCACGTGTTTCATGATACTAAGCATCAGGTGCCATGCAAGCCTCTGTCCAAAAACCATGGTCAGTGGTGACTGCTGCCAAGGGTTGGCTTTTCCTCAACACCTAAGCTGGAGACATCACCTAGAACTTTTCCTTTCTTCCACCTGCTTATTAACTTCCCTGTTTTTCCCAAGTAAGCAAGGATGCACTGCAGAGATGTTTGAAGTCCTGAGCCAGAGGAGGCCAGGGAGAGGCAGCAAGCACCATAGCACCTGGCAAGGAGCTACCAGAAGCAGGTGTGCAATTTCTTAGGCAGTTGAGTGCTGCCTGTGGGAACTCAGGCTTCCTGGAGATCAGAGGCATGCAAGGATAAAAGTATTATAAAAATAAAACACATTACAGTATTATAAATGGAGTGGTTGCAAATGAAGAAACAGAGGAGGAAACTAAACTGCTGTCTACATTTAACAAAAGAAATATTGGAAAAACTGAACTGCAGTTTTACAAAAGGGCTTTTCTTGACTTAAGTTGGAGATAACCCATATAGCCTGAAGTCAGGTACCATGCATAAAACTAAGCTGCTTGCAGCACGTATCAAACATTTGTATAGATTTCCCTATAAGCCACAGTGTGCAAGTTAGTTTTACTTATACAATTGCAAGGGTTCTAGTTTTAGTACTTCCCCTCACCCTGCAAAGGAAACAGCCACTGAAGCATCTTGCACTTAGAATAAAGTTTTACATCAGCAAAAGAAAGGCCAAGCGCCTTTCAGGAAGCACCTCTCTAAAAGAGGTTAGGTTAATATTGTAACATATAGGTACATAGGCTGTTTTACTCTTCCTTTACCTGCTGTAAATCATGCCATTTCCTTTACTCTTATAGTTCAAAATAAGAAAACCTACCTAAACATATCAATTAGTGCTCTACAGAGAACTGCCTGCAAATCCTGTCAATGGGAGTACAAAGTCAAATAAAAAGCTTGTGGTAAAGCTTCCCTTGGCTCGTACTCAGTTACTCAGTCACTACTACCTGCATGGAATTTCAAGGCATTTAGTTGTCATTTTATTTCTACCTTCCCATCTTTTTTTTCTTCCCAGTTAAACAATATCCCACGTCACTCTTTCCAGCTCTGCGTCCTTCATCGCAGGGCAGCAAGCAGGCCAAGAGGCAAGGGATGGATTAGCCTGTGCTCTCAGGTGTAGCCTTTATCTCTAGTCATGATTCTGTACATAAAATTTTACATGCAGTGCATTGATGCTCACTCAGCAAACCACTATTTTGCATCTCCAGAAGTTACCAGTTTCAGATGCTCTGTACACAAATGAAGAAACTAAAATAGGCAGGCCCCCAGACTATGGTTACTCATGCAAATTTCATCAAAAGTTTTTTAAAAAAAGTCTAGATCATCTCAGACTCCTGGCAACAGAAGATATATCAGAAAATAGCATCAGCACAAGCTCATTCAAGTAACCTATAGTGTCTCTTTAAACCTTCTCTCGTGTGACTGTTACTGAGAAAGGTTTCGAGAAAGTTCTGTGGCCAAGGTAGATGTCTAACTTGCTGGAAAAAACACGTATGTCCACTGGTGACAAGTTCAGGTGGCCTCACAGAGCCCTCTGCTACACAGTAGAAATAACACCTTGCTCTGTCTGCCTTTTCCACCCAGACAGCAGCAAGCTTCATTTGAATTTGCAGCCAGATCACCACTTTGGTTTGCTGGCCTTATATGTCAGCAAGATAAGCTAGAGTCTCATGCCCATCACCAGAAAGAATAGGGAGGTTGAGATCTGCAATTAACAGCAAAAGATAGTTTGTCAGCTGCATGTGGGGAATGCAAGTTCATTTCCAGTAATGAGGTCATACATTGCTATAATATACTGATTTCCTACCTTAGTCACCATTTTCCCAAGTGGCTGGTCCCTAAACTCCCAGATGATGAGAAGATTCTCTGGAGAACCAGGCAGGCTGCTCCAAATCATTCATCTTTTCTTCCACATCTGCCTTGAGAGGAGTCCTAGGAGGATTAACTTCGACAGGATAGTGTTCCTGTTATGAAAACGCTCCACAGCATCACTGGCTGGACAGCCAAAATCTCTGCTGAGTTCATGGAAGTGCTCACATTCCATCAGCCAGGCAGAACACAAGATGAATCGGAATGGAAGAGATCAATGTTAGTGAAAGCCTTAAGTCACAACCAGGTCAATCCAGACCATGCCTCCTCTTAGGGCATGGAATCCTGGAACAGAGAGAGAGATTAGTCCATCCACAGCCACATGACCAATATTCACCATGATAAAACATCAGTGAAAATTACTTAAAAGCCAGCCCACCCCAGCACATTTCAGCAGAAAGGTTTTCTACATTGCCTGTTGATAACTTAAGCTGGTCAGTAAGTATGGAAGACCGGCAGGCGGAAGAGCTCCAGGTGGTTCTTGCCCTTGTGTCCTCCCTTGGTTGCTTGCAGTAGGCAACAAGTAGAACAGTTTTACACCCTGCCCAAACCTTTCCCTCTTCCACCTATAAGCAAGGAGACAGTTGAACCACAGCATCTCATTTTATGGCAGCAACAGGCCAAGCAACAGCTGAATCCCAAAGACAAGCACGTGGAAGAGAGCAAATTGCATGAGTCAGACTAAAAGCTTCATAAATATTGACTGGTTTTAATATCCCCCTGAGAGACAGAGAATCTCATTTTACATTATGCGCTCTTCTCAGGAAACTGCAAGGAGGGCTGTTGTCTGGCTTATGCGAACATTATTTTAATTCCTCTTTTTGTGGTCAAGAGGTCTGTCAGTTTGCACCAGGGGCATCAGCAGAGTATCTCAGTGCCTTCCAGTGGTGCTTTGAATAACAGGACTCCAACAGGTTCTCTGCTTTCTCAGGAATGCCCCAGGGTGTAGGTGACACAAGGGAGAAATCATGTATAAAGTGCAGAAAGGAGTAGGCAGAATAGAATGGAGTTTTCAGTGCTTTCTGCTTTGATTCCTATCAGGTGAAGGGCATTTCAGAGAGAGAGAGGCCGAGATGCAATAGCAATGTGGATAGAAGAGACAAAGGTGACCTGGTCCTACAACAGTAGAAAGGGGCGGGGGGGGGGGCGGGGAGGAAGAATAACAAGAGTATTTTTTGAGAAAAGAAAGGGACTTGAGTACAGAGGAGGGAGACAGTTACTAGAGTATCTGAATGGTGGGGGTAGGACATGTCTGGAGAGGACAGTGTAGTGTGAATCAATGGAAAGACATGAGCCCAGGCCAGGGAACAAGTTGTCATCTTCCTGAACACAGCTACTCTGAGGGGACCTCTCCATTGCTTGCTGTAAGCTCCTAAACTCATCTCCTATTTACCAGGGATCTAAGCTACAATGTGCCTCTCCCTCCTCTTGAATCCTCTTCACTTCCAAATCCATTTATGGTTCCTCATCCTTGTCTTAGAAGTGCTCTAATCAAGAAAAATACACAAAGGGAAAATTATGTCTCACTATACAGCATAAAATTTTACCTCCACCAGCTCTCACTACCTGGTTTCAGTCAAGTCCATCCTTGTTGCACAGGCGGCAGGGCAGAGTTAAAAACAGCCCATTCCCCCACTTGCAAGAAGAGATTCTTTCTGGCCAAATCTTCCACAGCTGGTTGTTTACCTTGGGCATCAAAAATGCACCAAAGAGAGACCGTAAAACCACAGCAAAGCCCATGGATGCTCCTGAGGCTCATCTGAAATATATGCCACATGCAGTAAATGTCAGAGCTTCCTAGAAACAAGTGAAGTAGAGAATTACACCCTCCCTGTCCTCAAATCTAAGAGGTATGGCATGCAAAGCACCCTGGAAATCTGCCACTCCAATCTTGTTATGGGAAATTGTCCCTCCAGTTCTGCTCTCAGCAGTTTAACACTGCCTCCTGTGTTACAAATTAACAGGAGCACACATAAATTGCCTGAAAAACACTGATTTTTTCACCCAAAGCTTACTGTGAAGCAGTACACATAGCAAATCTGGCATAAACCAAGATTAGGCCATTTAGAAATCCCATCTCTTCTAGAGACTGTTCTATCTTCATTGGAAGAAACAATACCACCTACACCAACTTTTTGAAGTCCAGTTTTTTATAAAACATAATTAAATTTTATTGAGCTAAAGTAACTTCTTTGAAAGAGGTGGAAAGAAGAGCTCAGTGCATAAAGAGAGCTGAAGATATTATCAGGAAGAGCAGAACAGAACAATGACCACCCAAAGGAGGAAGTGCTGAGCACAGTAACAAGAGTGACATGGTAGGGGCCTCACCAGGCAGGGTCCCATCCCACAGTCCCTGAGCAACAGGATCAGGGTAGACCAGCAGATGGTTGCCAGGTTTGACCACAATTCCAAATCTTCAGGCACATTTATATGATGATACAGATCTGAGGTCAAGCTGGGAAGACAATCCACAGATAATAACCAGGTCCAGCAAGGGCAACCACGGTCAGAGACAACACAGTGATCACCAGGCAGGTTCACAGCAATGAGGTAGGACTAAGGTCAAACTAGAAAATCAGCGTGCACAGCAGAGCCCATATCAACCCGGTCCATAACCAGACAGAGCCAACCTAAAAAGCAACATTCCCACAGCACAAGCCAGGAAGTCTCTGGCTGAGCTTAAATAAGGCTCCCGAGCAGAGGAGGTGGGTGGAGTTCCCAGGTGATGCTGATCAGGATCATTAAGGCCCACCAGTGTCCTCAGGCCCTGACATGTGCCCCACACTCAAGAGCTGATGCAGCTGAGATTAGAGCAATAGATCAAGTTTTCTCAATTTCTCTGATTTTTAATTTCTGGTTAGCTTTGAGTTGTAAACAGAGGTGACCAATGGATGATGTACAAAGCATTGTCACAAAGTGAAGTAATTGGGAAAATATGGTAACTTTATTTCTTTTAATTGAGATTAAAATACATAAAAACAATAAAATGTAGTAATTTTCCCACTGACTGGACAAATAGGATAAAAACAAAAATCTTTTCTAAGTGGGCGTCTTACGAAAAGCCCATCACTGCAAATCATTTATTTCATAGTTGCAACAAATGCAAAAAGTTCACAAGCATCTGGCAGCTGGTGTCTGGCTGTGAGATATCTACCCATTCACTCAGAGAATTCCCTGCACAACATCCAGTAGTCTCCTTTCTAATAGGTAAAACTAGAAGACTGTCCCTAACTTTACCTAGAGCCCTCATTTGCATGGACTGGAAACAATATATATATAAGTTGCTTTGGGGAATTGAACTATCCTTTCAGGGACAGTGAGCCAGAACTGGAGTTGCTCTGCAGTGATTGAGAAAATCCCAACGAATAGCTCATTTTCCTGAAAATCCTGCCAATCGCTCATTACTGTGGTAGGGATTTCATACAGTGGGAAGAAAAAACAGTCAGAGATTTGATGGATTCTGCATGGACTTGTAGGAGGCAGGGATTCCACCGTCTAAACCAACGCAAAGCCAATTTCATAGCAGATCTGCAAACAGACTGGTATGGACCTGGAATGACATTTATGCCGTTCTACACCAAGCAAAACTGTTCTTGACCTTCCTTAAGAGTTTGGTTTTGAGTCACCCTGGACTCCAGTCCAGAATGGGCTTGGGGACAATGACATGACTGGAAAAGATCTCAAATAGGATGGAGGTCTTTTTGTCCAAAGAGAACTTCAGAGATCATGAAAAATGATGGGAAGTACTTCATCTGGTTCTCAAGACTGAGGAAAGTTTGTTTTATTCATATATGTTATATCTGGAGGGAAAAACTGGAGTATTTCCTCAGCAGAGTAGGATCTCCTCATGGAATCATCTTATTTCTTTTTGTAGACACTTATTAGAAAAAAAAAATGGAATTCTCTCCTCTCTCCTCCCCTATTTTTTAGTAAAAATAAAACTATTAAAAGCAACATTAGCAGGTTAGTCATCCTATGGCCATTCTAGCTCCACAGCAAGGTATTGGAAGAACTGAAGACCAGAAGCCCAAGCAGGGAAATTGCGTTATCTTTTGTGTTAAGATGAAATGCAGGTACCATCAGATACAGTTATGTTGGGTAATCTGGCATGATGTAGTGTCAAAAAAGCACATGGTGTGATTCACTAGGAGTCTGTGTACAACTCAGTGCTTGGCCAAAGCAGAGTACAGATGACTCAGTTTTGCAGACCATGATTGGCATAAGAAGCCAAAGTGAAGAACAAAGTTTAGCGCTGTAGTTCTTACAGCATGTCTCTTGGTGAGCTTGTAATAGCATGTGAATAGCAGGTCTCTTATCAATAGAAATGGACAGGCAATAAATAGAAGCCAAACTGAGATGTCATATCCTTAGAACAGAGGCTAAATATGTGCAACATGCCTCAATGCTTTATTCTAACATATCAACTAGTAAAATATGGCTGTGCAACCAGAACTGTATCTGACCATCATTATTTTTTCCCTTTGGACAAGACTGGAGGTAGTTGCCCATCCTTGTTGTGTTCCATGTCTGCTGCCAAATCTGAACTCCCCCACTCAGACACAATCCCAAAATAGGGTGTGACGCTTTTCCTATTGACAAAGCTGTAAGTCACTGTGAAGGAGACACACTCCATATCCTCCAATTAGTTAAATGAAAAGAGCTCTGCCCTCCTGCTTCCCACCATTTCACCACTCATTCTTTCGCATGTTAATTAATATAGGCACTAGAATGTGCGATGATAAATTACAAAAACCCATTAACCTGATTCTGTCCAAACTGGTGACGTATGACGACTTGTATGTTAGACAAAATCTTCCTCACTAATGTGGGAGTTCACATGTCTGAACATCATTAAAACAACAGCCTTGAAAAAATATTTTAATGTATCTACGTATGGAATGTATATCAATGTGCGTGGACAGTCCATGCCTGTGGGAACATCAGAATTCATTAGATCAGTTTGATACGAGACATATTGAACAGGTTCCATCTGACGTCTGTTACTGGGTTGTTCTGTCCACTCCCAAAGGAGTGAATCATATTGACAGGTTGAATTATATCTCAAGAGATTTTTTTTTCCTCCCCTCCTCCAAAGGCCATTTACAATCACGGCACATTCACTGCCTCTTAAAAGTGAGCTCATCTGGCACTGGGTTGCACTGAAGTCCTCCACCGTGCCTGAAGGAAGATGCTTCTGGGTGGTGGGAACATGGAGAAGATGTGGTCCGTCCCGCTGTCCCTTGGAGTGCTAACCATCTTGACCATGACTGTGTATGTCCCATCTACGTGTGGAGAGCCTTATTTACTACAAGGTAAGCTGGAGCACAGACTAGATGTCACAGGTAGGTGTTGATTTTCGCTTTGCTTTGCTGCTTGTCGTAGCCGAGTAACATTCATCTGTCCATGAAAGGGAATAAAACCAACCTTGAACTATATTAAACACTCAATTAACCTGGCTGTTACCCATAGATGACTTGCTTATATTAGCCTGACCTATAGTTGTCCTTCTGGTCTAGCATTGGTTGTGTGACACATTCCATTAATCAGTAAAAAAATACCAGATGTGATGGCATGTGTCTGGTAAAAGTACCGCTTTCTTTCTTGACAGAAAATTTCCAAGGAAATATATTACAATATCGCAGAGTAACAATCCTAGTATGCACCATATGAGATTTGACAGCTCATAAATGTCAGTGGTAGGGTGTTGCTGAACTTTCTTTATTCAGGAAACTACTTTTTATATCTTCTTCTCCCACAATTTAAATTAATCTTAGCTTGGACTTATTCGTCAGGGAAATGTCAATCATTAATCTTCTTTCTTAGAGAGACTTGGCAGCAGAAAAAAAAATCAGAGCAGCTAAATATAGGATAGAAAATAACATGTTGTTTTTCAGATGATTTTTCCTCGTATATCACCTATTTATTTTTGTAATGGCAACCAAAACATTCCTGAGGCCATTCTAGCTAAATATTGCCATCATTTAGTGTTTCGCAGAGTGTTTATATTGTTTTTTCTTCTGTAGAAAATCCCCCAAATGACTAAAAATAGCTATTTTGAAATTGTAACTGCTTTTCCAGCTGAGGACAGAGGGTCACAGCACAGCGCACTAAGGGCGAGTTTTGCTCAGCGTGCAGCTCTGCCGCTTTCCCCGGCTTCGTTCTCGAGATCACAGTCAGGGTCATCAGCTTCAGCTGTAGCATTAGGCAGTGATGAGCTGGCCAGGCTCTTGGACCACTTTGGCTAGGACTGCTCTGCTTGTAAGGGTTTATGTGGCTGTGACTGATGGGGCTGATTCCCACACACACTTGAGGTTCATCTATGTCACATTTTGGTTTTGTCTCGTATCTCTTTTAGTCTTCATACCCTTACAGTTATATAGGGTAGACAGTTACATGAGACCAAATTCTTCCTACTCGCCTCCTTGAAGGGAGTGAGCAGATGTCTCAAAAATCTTTGGAGAAGAGAGAAATACATCTTTCTGCACCATTTTCTTGCCCTGCTCATAAGTTCCAGGGGTGTCTTCTAAGGCTTTGTGGGGCAAGAATATTCAGAGCAAAAGTTTTAGGGAATGGCCCTTCTCCCTGAAAATTCTGGCTCCCAGCCCGCCCCCTCAATACTGAATTCAACATCCAAATGTTAGATGATGCTGGAAACATGTTTGGCAGAGCTAGGAGGCTCTTTGAAAGCTTTCAGGACTCTGAATAGAGCCTGATCCCCCGTGTCTATTGAATACTGCTAAGCCACTGGTTTCACAAGCACTTTTGAGGGCACAGCCACAACCCCTGGGGAGAAAACATTAAGTTCTAAAAAGGGACCTCACAGTAAGCCCCAGATTGCTTTATGACAGGAGCCCAGAACTGGCGCTGCGAGTTGCCCCATCTCGCACCATTTCTGTGAGCAGACCTCTCTGCCTGGACACTCTACTCTACATTCACCCATCTTCCACTCTCCTCAAGCTCCTTCCACATTGGGAAAGACAAGAGACATTTTACTTCTACTTCTCAGCCTTAATTTTGGTATTACTGCTGGAGGCTGGAGGGTCCATCCTTTTTGCCGTGAGGGCCTGACAGAAGCGTGTTTTATGTGCTGCAGAGAACCGAGTGCATCCGGAGAGAGAAGACACAAATCACGAGGACACACTGCTGTCTCTGCTGCTGAACAAGAAGCTCGCATGGCGGAGACCAGAAAACATTGGTAAGTGGACGTGGTGGAGACCCCAGCTTCCTGCAGCTGTGTTCATATGGATGCAAGGAGCCTGCTCCTTACGTGTTGAGCTTGCTAGCGAGTACAGAGTGCTCACAAAGCGGCGAGAGTTCAGCTCCTGCATTTCAGTGTGCTTCCTCTATCTGATTAAAAGCAGGTGTTCTGTCTCATGGGGCTGCTGGGAGCTGCTTTGGCAATGCAATGCAAAACTGGCCAAAAATTTACAGCCTAAATCCTCAGACACTCAACGCTGGGCTGCGAAGGGAGCATGTGTGTATATGAGGCATGACTAATAACGATGAGAGATGATGCTGAGCCTCTGATATCCCTGGAATAAATGCTGAATATTAAGTTTAGGGTACAGGGCATCTTTGGAGGGTCACCTTTCCCTCTGCACCCCCGTATAGCCCTGGTGCTTTTGAGATACAACTCAATGTCAGGCCAGTATTTCTTGAGCGCAGTGGGCAGCATTTTTGCAGACACATGACTGAGAACTCGAGCCATCCATGACAACACAATCCCAAAGTCCACATAGATTGCAGAGGTCGTCTGTTCCCACGGCCACTACAGCCGGAGAAGGATTTGGTCAATATGTGGTGGTCTCGGGGCAGGAAGCTGTGCTTTCCTGTAAAAACAGGAGAGAGGGGGCCCAGCAGAAACTGTGTCATGAAAACCCAATACATCAAATCACTTAGTGCTTCAGCCGAGCCCCTTGTTAATACAGCGAGGCAGTGGTTAAACAATAAATACAAATAAATCAAGTCCTTATACTAACAAAGGCATTTTTCATGCAAAGGAGATGCATTCAAAAAATAACATTTTTATGATCGGTTTATGGATTAATGCACTTATTACTCCTAGAGGAAAGGCTGCATTTTATGCCAGACAATTGAATATAATGAATCTCTGAGCAGAGCACAGAGAATTTACAGCAGGCAGTTTCTCAAGGCATCATCCATAAATTAGCTTCTTTCCCCCTGCCTGAGACAATCTGTTCCAAATTTCGACCACTGTTCATTTTCTATTCATAGCCATCATTGGCCAAGCTTACAGTTTGTGTAAAGTTGAGCCAAAACAGGCACTTAAAAATCTGAAAGAAGTAAAAATGTATAAAATAATAATAACAACAAGCTCTTAAATGTCACCAATCCCTTGTAGAGGCACATGACTGTTTGCTTGTACCTCAGTGATGAGTAAAGCAAAGTTAAGAGGAATCCTCCATGGATCATTTCTGGCACTGCCAGGAAAAGAGTCCCATGTTCCCTCCCAGCCTGTCCCCAGCACTATGCTGCCTCTCAAATCCAGCCCCGATATAATATGTTACTCTTTCTGTTTTATGAATATCTCTCAGATAATATTCAGGATCTTTCAACTAAATCGTTCCCTTCTTGAAGGAGAAACTGAGCGTGCAGCCAGCTTTTTTTTTTGTCATTCTTCTGTTCATTTACAAAGGCAAAAGAAAAAGCCCAGTTTGGCAGGGTGTCTGTGTGCTGAAGTCTTATCTGATGTCAGGGGAATTAGACACTTAAATCCCTTTGGAGATCCAGATCACTGTCTGCAGCCACTGCCAGAGCAGAAGAAGGAGGCAATTCCAGGGCTGGTTTTTTTGGCTTTCTTGCAGAGTATATCAGGGAGTTTCTTTAGTGTTTTCTTAGCTCTTCTGCTTATTTTTTGCTTCTTTTGTGTAACGGCACTTGAAGCCAGTCAATCGCTTTACATTCCCCTCCTTGCTCAAGAAAACTGCCATGGTGTTCACTGTGGGATTTTTCCTGAGCCCATCCTATGGTGGTGCTTCCCATAGTTTCACTGCATCAGTTATATCGTTCCTACAGTTCAGCTATATCATTCCAACACTTTCACTTTCTAAACCTCAGATTGTCTTCAGGTCCCTCAGCCTTCAGGACTGAGGCTGAAATCCCATTTCTCTTCCTGCCATGTTTTCTATTGTAATCTGGGTCCTTCCCTGTTTGGATGCAACCTCACTCCTGCCACATCCTGGATGAGATATCACAGAGCAGTTTATTTAGCCATGTGCAGCTTTAGAAAGCCTAGTGCAGCCTTAAAACTGTTTCTGAGCTGAGCTTTGGGAAGCAATGTGGATACTAATGTTACCCTGTTCTTTCTTGCAGACTGGGAGATGGCAAAGAAATTTGAAGAGCTCGAACAGGTGAGAGAAATAAATGCACAAATGCATGTATGCATTGTTGCATGAATGGTAGCTGAGCTAAACAAATGTGTATATTGTCTTTTTTCTACCTTTACATCTTTCCACTCTTCATTCTGGTCCTACAATGCAAGCACAGAAAAAGGCATCAAAGCTATGGCTTAACGTAGTAATGGGTGAGACACCTCTTGCCTCTGCCAGCAGTGAAGGGCCGTAAAGGGCCAAGCCAGGAGAACAGAGCTGTGAAGGAAATATCATAGAACGCTTAAGGTTGGAAGGGACCTCAGAGGTCATCTAGTCCAACCACCCCGCTCACGCAGGGTAAATATCCATGGATGAAAAGGGTGAGAGAAGGACAGTTGATGCTGCCTTCTGGTATCTCAGCTGGCTGCATCCAATAATTATTTCAAATTAGAGGGATAGCCATTGCACCAGACAAAATCCCGATTGAAGGCCCTATCCAAGGGCCTACCTACCAGGCCTGCTGTGCCATGATAACAAGAGGAAGGCCCATCCCACATCAAGGTTCCAGGCCCAGGAAGAGCCATGCAGGAACTTTGATGTGGCTCCCACTGTGCCCTGGTCTCCACAGGCAGTGGAAGCCCTTTCCAGCTTCATGACAAGTGTTCATGTAGATCCTGCTGAATTCCATCCATCAGACTTCAGTTCAGATCTAATTGGGAAAACAACAACAATAAAAGAAAATAATGTGGCAGTTTAGATACGGTGAGCTCCCAAGTCCTTCTCCACCTCAAGCTAGGGCTGAGGGATATTTAATAGGGCTTCATCGCATTGGGAATGATGTTGCCAAAACATAAGTCTAGATGATGGTCATAAGTATTTCCAGCCCACTGTAAAAGAGTAGCCACAGATGGAAAAGAGATGCTAGAGGTTTTCTATCATTGTGACCAATGGAAACTAGCAAGAGCAGAGAGAGGGAAAGGAGTGGGAGCCACAGTTGAGAGGAACAGAGGTGTGACACTCTGTGTTGCAGTGTCTGGATGCCTGGGACCTCCCACCCTTGTGAAGAAACACTAACTTGGGTGTTAATGGTACCACATCCTTCTGTGGAGCCTCTTTTCCAGAGGGTTTGGATTGTGTCAACAGGAAAGGGCAGAGAGTGCCCACACTGCTATCATAAAGCAAACAGCAAAGGGGAGCAGGGACCATGGTGGTAAATGTGAGTACTTCAAAGGCAGAGGTCCTGGAAGGGCTCTTTTCCAGGGAAGAACCTGTCCTCCCCAGTGATGCTCTCAGCCAGCTTGGCAGTTCAGCTGCCCTGAATGGCACTGTGCTTTCCAGAAAGCCTCAGAGCTCCTCATAATGGGGCATTCATTCACTGCTGTATTTGTTTTCCAACAGCTGGAGAAGTTGAAGGATCAGCTCTCAGCTGAGGAAGGGTCAGAGGTGGCCTATGCCTTGGAAAGTCTGTCAGCATCTCAGCCTAAAAAACGCGGTAGGTTTTGAGTTAGAGTCTGTGGGCCTGGCTAGCGGTGGCCATCCAGCCAGGGCTTCTGTTGGCACATCTGCTTCCACAGGCAGGCCAGGCAGCATTTCGAGCAGTCCTGGTCCTCTCTTGGAAATGACTGCCTGACCAGCTAGTGAGAAGGTCTCTGTGTAACCAAACCCTGTCTGCTGTTGGATCAGACCCAGTGGATCTGCAAATTCAAGACTCTGTAGGAGGCAGTTAGTGTTGCACCCCTCTTTTCACAGAGGACCATGGGGTTATGTGGGTATTGACTGCCTTTGCAGGAGGTGTGTGAGCACTTTCCTTCAGTGTGCCTCTCATTTTGCTCTGGTGCACAAAGCTGGAGCTCAGGGAATAATGAGGCAGTGGACTGCTCTTTCAAGGTCATTGCCTCCCTCTTCAGAGCAAAGCAGAGCAATTGTTTATGCTGTTGGAGGAAAAATAATGGATGTGGAAAGCAACCAAGTATGCAGGGAGCTAAGATCTTAATAGGTCCCCCGGTTGGTCCGCTCTGCCGGCAAGGCAGGATTGCCCGTTGCCATACTTTCTCCAAGATCTCCAAGCAAATCTCTATAACACAAAGGGAAATTTTAAGAAGCACCCTGGATGCTAACATCCTTCTTTTGTATCCTTCCCCAGCCTGCTTCTGGAAATACTGCATCTGAAGGCTTGTCGGGAATGAAGAATGAAGACAAGCCCTTCCCCAAACTGCCGTGCTGGGTCTTAATGTCTTAGAGCTCCTTCTGTTCTCTTGTTGTGCTGCTAACTCGGATGCATCCACTGTAATTGCACCACAGCCAAGTCTAACGGGGACTGTGACAGGAGCCAGTAGCCAACCTCCACTTACTACTGTTCCTTGCTTCCAGATTTAACCTTCCCTGATCTTCTACTCGGCAGATGTTTCCCAAGTTTCAGCACAGCCCTGTGTGTGCCACTTAGTCTGCTGCCACTGTAAACCCTTCACTGTCCCACCAGGTTCCTCAAGGCACCAAACATTAACTTCGTTGCCCTGAGCTTTCACAGATGTTGCTCATGGTGGAGTCTCAGTTTCCCCTTTGCCTCCTAAAGGGAGGTCTGTGATGACCTGCAGTGGTCACAACAGTGTCAGAACAGGAGGGCAAAGTGGGGATAACGTGGAAGTTTGAGGGCTGCCTACCGCGGCTTGCTGAGACAGAGCTCGCTCTTGTCATGTCCTGTCACCATATGCAGTCAGTTTGGGGGAGGACAGGCACAGAATTAGGAGTCCTTTGGATATCATTCCAATAAAGATTTTCTGTTGCAATAAAGCACATGTCATTTTTTTCCTCATCCCCCATAAATGCCCAAACTTCCTACTTTCCTTGCTATAAGCTCATGTTAAGTTTACTGTAAAAAAGTCTCCTGTTGAACACTAAGCTACAATAACACAGCTCTATTTTATTGTGCCTGAAGAGCAGGCCCTTCCTTTTGATCAGGACTGGGTAAAAATTGACTCTTCCCCATGGATATGTGTGGGTTGCAGTTGTCATGCAGCTGGACCAGCCTCACTGACTTCCACTTCAAATAGACAATCTCAGAAGAGATTCTTGGCTCTTCTGGCTGGTCACTGCTGACGCAAGTTGACTTTCTCTACTGCAGAATTATGTCTGCACCTGTTCAAAATGAAGAGGTCACACTATACCACTGATTCCTACATATATTTATCTTAAAGCATTGTTACCAAATTTTTTTTTGCAAACAAAATGCTAATATTTGCTGGGTTCTGAAAGGTGCAACTACAAAATAAATCTGTTGAGGCCATACAAGTTAATGTATCCTACCAGTATATAGGATGCGCTCCCAGTACTCAGACTACCACAGGTCTCCTCATGGTGCTCTATGAAGTTGTGTGGGTTACCTCCATTGATCAGAGGTGTTTTGAGTGCAATTTGTTTACCAGTTCTGAGTGAAGATGGTAGTGCTGTCCCTACACTCACCTTCAGCATGTCACTACAAGGGTCCTGCTTGTCCTCCTAACTCACAGAGCAGTAGCTCCTGCTGTCCTCAGGTGCCATTTCCACATTACAGGGCAAAGTTAGCATGCACTGGATGCTGTAGCATATTCTCACTTCAGGATTTCTAACCACTATGCTACACACAAGGTACTGCTCCCACTTTACCCATGCATAGGTAGTCACTCTGGCTGAAGTTGACTCACAAGCAATAATTAAAGATATTTCCCTTAGACTTTATAGCAGATCATGTTGATTTATTAGCAGAGAATTATCACTGACATCGAATGGTTTTGCAAACAGAGAATGCACAAGGCAAAGAGCATGCAATGTTTCCTGTAGTATTCTCCCAGTTCACATTTATTAACCTCTATGTTATGCCCAAATGACTGAGGCTATCCAGTACTGTCTTAAAAAAAAAAATATGGTGTTCTTTCTTTCAGACATCACTTCTTTAATGGATTCTACAAGTGGTTTCTGAATCACAGGAGGCCTCAGCACGTTGTGACAAGGATGGGGCACAGGAACAGAATGGCTGCTGGTTTCTGCTGGGTAATGCACAGAACATAGTGAGAGACAAACACAGGATTGAAGTTTCAAGCTCCCAGTTCCAGGAAACAACTAACAATCAGATAAATCTGTCCTGCCGTGCCTTCATGTTTTTTCTCTAGATGAAGGGCACATCTGCATACAGCTGTAGGCTTTAAATCCCCCTTTCTAAGAAGCTGCTCAGACTAATATCAGCCAATCACTGTAATACATTCACATTCCACTATTATCTTTGTGAATCATCTATGTCAGCACTGGATTCTTCCAGAGTTACCCAAAATGTATCACACAGTGAGTCTTGATCACGGCTGCTCTTGACAGGCAACTGTAGAAGTGGTCAGAAGTACATTGCCTCCATAATCTGGACCTGTCACACACACACGGCTAACCTTGCAAGTAGATTATCTGCAGCCTGAGCGAGCTCGGTGCAATAAGGTAACTGCTAAGCTGCAGGACAGGCTCAGGACATGTGGTTGCAGCACTCCAGAAGACAGGGTCTGGGCTTGTATTTGCAAACTTGCTTCTACCACAGGCAGAAAAGTCTCATCTCAGACCAGCATTCAGACAGTCTCCACCCATCCAGTAATCTAGTCTAAATTTTATATCTTTAAGATTGAATGTGAGCACTGGAGCTTGTGGAAATGTCAGAAGCAAAAAGCTAAGATGAATCCTCAATTGGGATTTATGGCCCCTCTCTTTTTCTAACTTTTGAGATCTTGGACTGGAAAGCATTTGCAGTGCTTCTGCCACTCGCTTCACATACAAGCATGGACACTGCACCTATTTGTGGAGGAACGACCACCTAACTCCACTTGATGCAGCTCTTCTTGAAGGGAAAGATGGGAGCACTTCTAGAAGTGAATTGGTGTTTTGTGGATTTGCTTGCAGCAGCAATAGCCTAGATGGGAGTTGTCAAGATCCTAGCTGCTGGACCCAGACCCAGTCAGGGCTGTAGGAAACAAGGAGAGGGGGAAAACCTGTGGCGTCCCTCTTATGACCATGGGGACCACTTCCCTGACCACTATGATCACTTCCCACTCCCAGGCAAGTATTAGATGCTAATACTCAGAAGATACTGCTTCTACTACTGATACTTCTGATAGGGAGCCTTATTTCACACCATGACCTGAAAGTCTCACTGCCCAGAATAGATCTGTTTTGGAAATTTCACCAACATCCAAACTTCTTTCCTTCAGCTTCCTTTGGAGAAAGTGATTTTTTTTCTTCCCCATTTTTTCAGCTGATGGTCAGTTGGCTTTGTGCCTCACATGAGATTAGGAAGTTAGCATTTCATTTCTATCCCCACTTTTACTGCAACTCACTGCCTAAAATGGAGTATTAAGTCAGAGCAAGATGTATTTTTTTTCTCTTTGTCCTATATAATCTCCAAGAAGATCTTTTGAAATTAAGAGCAATTTACCAAGAGCAGCAATACAAGGAACTTTAACTGACATGAACCCAAGTTCAATGAGAAATGTGTGAGGTTTAGAAAAGATCAGCTAGGAACCTGAGCATTTAGATATCAGCAAGCATCTCTTTTTAGCTAATTTTTAAAAGTTAGAAAGAAGTGAAAAAGAATGAACCAGGATTCAAGTTAATCTGTTTTACAATGAATTGAAATGGACAGGGTAGGCACATTTTTACATGTTATCAGGGTAAAAATGCTTGAACTTTTACAGTTGGATGTCTGATTATACCTCATATGCACATTAAGAGACTACAATAAGGCTGATGATGCAGATGGCCTAGGAAATAGATGATGACTTCATATTTGGATGGTTTCCTATATTATACATAGGGAGGAATAAAATGTATTCATAAGCTTAGCAGAGGAAACTGTAAGTCTCACCACATGTCAGGATCTGCCATACAATGAAAACATTGCTAAATTTGGTGCAGAGATAAGAGAAATTCTGCTAAAAACATCAGGGCAAATTCTAAGGTATTGTCATAGTTTTCCCTTAGACAAATGTCTAGTGATGTCAACAGATGTTTTCTCCTCAGTAGCAGTTCAAGTAAAACCTTGGTTTATTCCATAACTGCTAAACTCTTTCTTCATCTCCCAAGCAAACATCCTCCCGAAAGAAATTTGCAATGCAAATTGTCTGCTTTTCATGGACTTCTGTTGGCATCTCTGAAAGTTTCATTTTATAGTCAAAAATTCTAACAAGTCCTTGCTAGGATTATGAACTTCTGCAAGTTTAAGAAACGAATGCCATGCAATTAAACTATATATACACACACACACACACACACACACTTTCTGTTCCCTCCTATCTGTGGCACTCTGCATATCTGTGAGAGCATTCTGACCAGATGAATTCAATTTGTTGCTGTTCATAAAGCACAATGTGAAACAGATTTTGTAGGAGGTCAATTCCTTGAACGTTGAATCATTAGTCAATGACAAGACATGCTCGGATGCATCTTCCATAACCCTGCAATGTTTCCAACACAGCATCAATCACTCAGAACAGAAGCACCTGTAGAGAGAAAAACAGTAAACATTCAATTTTCCTAAATCAGTAAGGCTTGGAAGTGGAAGGCTTGGGTAAAGACACTGTAAGGTCATCTACAGCAGATGGAAAAGTCTAAGAATTCTGGATTTACTTTGAGGAGATATTAAGTCCTAGTTTGGAGTATTACATTTGAATTCACAGTCACAATAAACATTGTATGAAGTCAGCCTTCCCCGAGCCTCTCTAACCAACCTATGGGCAAGACTGGAGTACCTCCATGCAGCCACCCACAGGTGTGGTGCTCCAAATGTGCCATACCTGCAGCGCTTCAGCTTACCTGCACGAGCTGCTAGCCCTTCGTGTTGCTGAGACGGCTCACTCCAATCCGGTCTAGAGGAATTCCAAATCGTCTCTTGGGCAGCTCAACCACTTTCCTGAATGGGAAAAGCAAAGAAAGAAGGCAGTAAAGAACTAAAATAAATAAAATAAACCAACCAAACGAACAAAAAAACAAACAAAAAACCCACAGCAACAATCAAAATGTTGTTGCATCTTTGATTCCTCCATTCATCCTACTCACAACCTTGTTCTTCACGTAGAACAGTTTCAGAGCAGCAGCTAATGAGGAGTGTTTAAATATAGGATGCTTCACTTCTCTCAAAAATGAAGGCAGGTAAGAGTTGCAACCTGCTTACAGAAAAGCTGATATTGATTTACTACCCTGTTCATAAATACCAACAATCAAATAATTGCATAGATTACCAGCTATTCATAAAAGAAAGGCAAAGCATTACATGCATAAAAGGAGATTGTTTTGTGTATGGTATTACATTGCTCAGGTGACACCTTAATTTGGATCTTCAAAACCTCCTATTTAATTGTGCAGTTATTCCACACTAACAGATGGGACAAGTCAGAAAACACTAGCAGGATTTTCCTAAGGGGTATCCTGCCATACCCTGTTCACAAAACTGAGTATTAAAAATCCGCTTGATGAGGCTGAAAGTATTATCTCCCTTCTCTTTATGATGCATTGCCTAGTAATTGATGAATAAGAACTTGAGGAAGTACGTGAGAGAAGTTAGAGGCAGGAGTATTTCATTAGTTAAAAAATAATGTTCCCAGCCATAATTCCAGCTTTTAAAAAGAAAACGGAATTCAGCGGTTTTGAGCATTTGTTTCAAAACTTCAACAGAAGTTTTACTGCAATATGCTGGGGAAATGGGGAGGTTTCCTGCAGCTGAGCTTCCCCTCTTGTGGTCATGTGAAGCCATAGCAGGACAATCCCGGCTTCTTTCACTGACACTTTGCTCAATTTTCAGGTTCAAAATAAGATTGCGCTTTCAAAATTTTCTCTGTTTTACTCCTGCAAGTGCTCTCTGAAAGTGATAACCTCAAGCAAAACTCTGCAGATGATGATCGGAAAGGAAGGATTTTGTGCAGTGGGTCATTTTGTTTGCACAATGTCTTTATTTGATTTCAGAAAAAGAGTTGCTAGAAAATTTGGACAGCTTTCCACAGAATTTCCCTTTTCCTTTTTCATGTTATTTTTTTCTATTGTACACAGAATGGAACACATTTACCATCCAGAAGCACACTACAAGCTGGGATTACCATACATTTTTGCAAAAAGGTGCTGTAACTTCAAAAATCATCCAGTATTTGTTCCCCTTAAGAGGAAAAACATGCTAAAAATATAAAGAATGAGTGGTTTTCATCTCATGCAGAGCTTTATGGACAAAAGAAGTCCTACTTGAGGTTTTAAGATTTTTCTACTTTATCACTTTTGGCTGCAGTCAAAAACTCCCAGTAGCAGATTGGGTGGGTAAGTGGAAAAAAATACCATGAAAATATTGCAAAATTCTTCTTGAAGGAGGAATAAAAAGGAAAAAAAGAAAAAAAGAAAAAATGAACTTGTAATGTTGACTGACTCCAATGAATACTTTCCATTTCCAGATTAAATTTTAAGCATGTCATTAAATACTTTGTGGCATTGGGGATTCCATCCAAAAGACAACAGTTACCAGAAGAATGGAAGAAACAGGACAGTTTAGCTCTTTTGGATATGGTAAACAGCCCCTTCAGTTTTGTCCCAAACTCACTGGCTTTCCTCAGACATATCAATCATCATTCCTTAGCCCTCATATTTATAAACATGCCTATCTTCCAGGGTAGAAGGTCCAAACACTAACGCTCATCATAACACAGCACAGCTATATTGATTAAGCCTGGCTTATCGGGAGCAGTTCTAGTTCCAGAAGTGTCTTTTTTTTGGAGAATCATTTTGTTATCTGTGTCCCCATGTTTTGTGATGTGTTTTGTGAGGTGTTCTTCATCCTTCTATTCAGGATGTGCATTACAATAGGCCTAGTCACACCCCTTTTGTTTTTTAACCTCAAATACATTCTTGTGGTAAATAGTCTCATGATCCAAAAGGCAGTTTTATGCTCAAGGATAGTTCACATGCTTGGAAAGAAGTGTACTAGAAAAATACATGCCCTAGAATGTTCCAGTTAGTTGGATGGCACTGTGAGGGTTAGTGAACCACAGCATGCGTTACTCATGACAACTGGAGAATTACACATTGGACAGAGCGGTTTTTGTAGAGATCCTAGATCTCTACATCCTAGATCCATAGAGATCCTAGGCCCTCACATAGAGGCACCTCGTAACAGCCTACTGAATTTGCCAGGGACTAAAAATAAGCCATTTATATCCTGGATAACCTACCTACCAACAGAGGCCTTCTAGTTTGATCACTGCTAGGAGCCAGAGATCTTACCTCTGTTTGCCTTTTGTATCAACAGAGCTTGAAGAAATCCTGTCAATTGGGGAGCCAAATCCTGGGAAGCTTCTCTTCTTCTTGGTCTCGGTCACCTCATTCTCCAGTGACACTAACTCATCAAGAAGGAACAGTTTGGCTGATAGGTCAATGTCCAACCTCTCTTCACTGGCAGGGGGATGTGTTCCCAGGCCTGTCACATTAGAAGGCTCCAAAGACTGAAAAAGAAAAGAGGGATATTTGCTTGCTGCTGAAGCTCCAGGAAAAATCATTTTAAGAAGTGTCAAAGCAACAGTTCTATAATTAAAAAAAGAAAAAAAAACACAGGCTAGGACACTGAACGTGGGACAACATTTTAAACTAATATTTCTTCTGTGAAACCTAGTCATTTTCTGATCAGAGGAGGCTACAGTCAATGCTTGAGATATTTGATAGGCTTGAACTCCTTCTTCACTGTTATTAAAATATTATTAAAAATAACTATGTTTTTATTATTAAAATAACTATTTGATATTTTTCAGGAAACTAATTTCCGGTTTTAAGTGAATGTTAATAAATAGTAATGAAAATGCATCCAGTATTTTCCATCCAAATTCAACAAATAATTATTATGGGGGGGGGGAAAAAAACCCAAAACAGAATAAACTCATTGACATTCAAAAAAGTGAGTGTTACACAGCAACAAAATGTGAAAAGCTGGAAAGTAAAGAACATATTCTTGCTTATGCAACAGATATACAGACTTGACACAGAAAGACAAAGGACAGCAGCTACTATACGTAGGTAGGTGTTAAGCACTACATTTATCTTTTTGTTCAAGGTGATCTCTACGGCACTAGGTACAAAAAACCCTAAGCAAAACTCTTATTAGCTGCCTTGAATCAGACTTTCCTCTCTGTTTAGAATCATGACACTATCTTTCTTACTCCTACACAGTGTGTTTAATACTAATGTAAAAGAAAACATTACAGGGATAATGTAAATATTTACATCTACTATGGTCCACACCATAGCTGTGATGGTAACTGGTGGGTGGCATAACGTGTGACAGTGTATAAAAGGAAAATGCAACACTGACATAATAATGATCAAGTGACAAGAAAAATCACAATGATGATATAGCATTGTTAATGTTTTTGGAAGGATCTCATATTTTCTAATTTTTTTCCTCTGATGCTCGAGCAGCATTTAGGGGTCTTTTCTGATCTTTTTCAGGAGTATACAACTGTTACCAAAAGTTTGTAGCCAAACTGTGCCTTTAAAGAAGGATGAGCCCTCCACTCTGTTTAGTGGGGATAAATATCTACAATACTGCTCAAACTTGAACATAAAAATACTTCTTATGATGCGAACAACTATGATGAATAACTAAACAAAGCACAGCTTCACAGAAGAGCCAGGAAATGAATGCAAGGGGATTACAGTAAAAGGCTTAGAAACTTATATAAAAGCAAATGGATAAAGTCTAATAATCTTTTATTAGGAAAAAGAGTTTCACATTTCTTCACCAGTGAATTTAAAATAAATGCAAGCTGCTACTTTTTAAACAGTACATAGATGAAGTAGAATGTATTGCCAAAAGTGGTAACAGATACCAAAAGTTTAAAGCAGCTAAACCAGTTTTGCAGCAGCTGAAAAATGCACTGATCCAGTCTGGATTGGGACGTGCCTGAAAATGTCCTGTTCTTATATTCTCTTCACAGACATTGCTGCCATTGAGGATCAGCTCTTCATGGTGTCACAGCAGCAGCCGCTACAGCACTGATGTGGAGAGGGGACATTATTGAGCACAGTGAGGACGTGCTCACTTGAAAAGAGCAAGGCAGGAGGGTGCGTCAGTGTTCTGCAATGTGCACCTAGTTTCTAAGCTGGTCTTAAAAATCTGTGTAACGACCCTAAAGCCAAATAGTGATGCATGATTAAGCTTTTAGATCCTTGACTTTCATGACATGAAACCATTACATAAGCATCTTTGCTGCCACATCTGTTTTATGTCAAGATGACAAGAAAACAACAACAAAAGAATTCACCAGAAGTATTTGCATGTACAATCACTGCATATCTTAGTGGACGAAATACAAGACATTAGTTGTGTTATTTCATCTACAGGTCTTCTTTTACAAACTTAGGCAAGTTACTGCTCCTTCCCTGGTCTTCTCTCTCTCTCTCTCTCTCTCTCCTTTAACCAAGTCTTATGGAGAGTCTCTCCCCTCAATCCTCTCATATATTCTGAGAACTGCAGAGGACTCGCACTATTATTTGTCTCTTAAGGAGAAGATTGGAATTCTTTTCAGGGTTAGCTGAAAAATTTCCTCCCCACCTCTGATTGCAAAGTGCTTTATCCAAAACACTGCACAATGTTTTAATGTACAGAAATCCCAGTGTGTTTCAGGAGAGGCAGATCTAGGCACCATTGAATTCTGTGAGCCCTCTCAGAGCCATGCAATGTGCATCACTCCTTTCGCTGCAGGAATTGCCCTGCTTCAGCTTTGCCCTTGAAGAGTCAATATCTGCTCCCTTTTGGGCATCCCTGTTTGGAGACCATGGTATCTTCTACACTCCATGTCTGGGAGGTCTCCTAGGAAGAGCGTGGTTATGTGGTGCCCATTGGGAATATTCACCTACCTCTGGAGCTGCCTCAGCCAGGAGCACCGAACTAGACTGCCACTGCAGCAGGGTAACCACAAGGGTCACATGCACCACAAGCAGTTGAAACTTCAACATCTGCAAAGGAGAACGAGCTGTTGAGGGCTCCATTGCCACGTTCCTAGAGGAGGGAGAAAGAGAAAGAGGCAAATACCAGTGAGAGTCCTTACAGGCTCTTGTGGAAGGACAAAGAGGAGAATATCTCTCTCTCCAAAGACTTTGGAGAAGGGAAAGCAAGCAGGAAGACTCTGTTCTCATGGCTGTTAGCACGTTTTATGAGAGTTAATGCACAGTCACTTCATTAAAAAAATTGTGCTAGCTGAATGACTTCTACTTTGAGGGACCCCACAGATGTTTTAATTCCTTTCTGCACAGTGGCCCAGTTCTTGCAGAAGGGGAGAGGTCATGAGAGCAACCTCGCATTAAAACCAGATGAACTAGACCATCATTTGTAAGCAGAGAGAGTCAGTGTCTCACAGCTCCCCAGGCTGACCTTACCTTTCCCACATCTTAGGTAGGAGTCTCAAATCTCTTACAGAAATCACGGATCTCCCTAGCAGCTTTTTTAAAGTAAGTCTGATTTTCCCAGCCCCCCAAATCCTCATAGTGTGATTTAACAGCAGTCAAAACCATAGACCCCTTGGGATCCTGCGTGAGAGTCATACAGCTCCCCTATCTGGAAAAAGCTTGCAAGCTTTCCCAAAGCTTGGGCAATGAAAATCCATTGCTCAGTCCTGTTGCTCAAGCCAGGTTACCACAGTTGCAGAACTGCAGGTGCCCGCAGAGCCCTTAGGTCAAGCAGAGAAGTTTAATTTTTGGCAAGGTCAGGAAGCTGCAGCTGCAGGGATTTCTTTGGTCATGGATATGAGTTGCAATCTTTAAGCTCTTTTCTAGATGCAGCTCACAGAGCATAACGTTCCTCTGACTCTACCAGGTGGGAGTCATTCAACTGACTGATAAGAAATAGATGGTGCCTCTAGTGCCAAAGAAATCTGTTAATTTACTGATTAGTCTGTTACCAGGGCCAGACGCAGAGTATAACTCAAGTCTGATTCTGCCATTCTTTGCTGACTCTCCTCTTGGCAAAAACAGAAAGGGTGTATAAATACATTTTTATGATGTATGATAGTTATTTTATCCCCTGCTTAGCAAATCTTCTATAAGATCAGGCAAAAAAACATATGGCAAAAAATAATTGGCTTTGCACTTTTTCCCACACTGTAAAAGAGAGAAGCAACAAAAGTGCTTGGAATACAGTTTTAAAAGGTGAAGATAAAACGTTTATACCCACTACTTTGCTTCTTACCTTGGTTTATTCAATATACTCTAAAGATGCTTCTGTTAATTGGTTACTCTGTGATGTATCTGCTTTATATAGCACATGAGGCATCAGCTGTGAGGAAGACAGCTGCTGGTTAATCCAGAGGTGCCAAGCAGACTAAGTCCACTGGAATCAAAGGACAAAGACAAAGCAGCAACCAGGTTGTACTAGTGTCTCTTAGTCCAAAACTGACAGCCCTTAAAACCAGACAAGTGTCTGTCCTGGTGTTTTTTGGCCTACAGCCTTCTATAATGTATATTTTTGTATGTGACTGTGCATTGAATTTTGAAGTAGTAGTCTACCACCTCCACAGATAACCACATCCTGATTATCTGGATACAGGGACATAAAAATAAATGGCAAGGTTAAAAACACGTTTATTATGGTCCAAGAGCTCTGCTGGTATTCATCCATCCCAAAGACCAAAGAGCTAAAAATAGCAACTGGTACACTAATAAAAATAAATATTAAGGCACCTGCAATGCAAAAGACATTTGATTAACCAGTCAGAACTTGATGCCAGTGAAATTAGAAGCAGAGGAAATGGTAATAACTTAAAGTTTGGCTCTAATTCCTATGGAAATCAGTAACTAAGAAGCAACATCACTGGTTTAAAGGTGCAAAACTAAGTCTGGAAGATCCTGTTGTGTTGTAGTAACCAGGGTGGGAGAAAGATGCAGGTTAGTTCTAGTGCAGCAGTCTCTCCATAAAATAATATTTTCAAAACTAAAGGCAGCAATAAGGATTCTGCAAGAGTAAAATGAAATCACACCGTTTTCTGCCAGCCTTGAGCTTGGCTGGCCACCTTCAGCAATGTCACAGGATTTTAAAATCAGCTGCTGCTTCTACTGCCTTAGCTCATCTCTTACATTATGAGCAGAACCCCCCTGCCAGCGAGGGGTCTTTTTGCAAATGTACATTCTCCTCCTAGCCAAGTATCTGGCTATTGCTTAACCCCATCCACACTTTACCTTGTCCCCTTCCAAAAGGGAGATTTGAAACCAGGTTTCACTATATTTGTTACTGAAAGGGAAGTAGCAAAACTCTGCGAGCCACACAAACCATTACAAGATGCACCATTCCCACTTGGACAGATTCTCTTCAGGCTCTTCAGCAGTTTCACAGAAATGGGTCAAGGAACTGGGACATTAATTCACGTCTCCAGTATCTCTGAGTCTGGCCTGGCAAATGTAAAATACGTTTCACCTCTCATTAAATGCAATTTTAAGTTTGAAATTCAGACAGATTTATGTGTTTTAATGATGTTTCCACTCAAAATGTGTCAAAACTCAAGTTGGTCATATAAACAGGCATCTTTTTTACAAGTCCAATTAAAATACAATTAAAGATAAAACAGAGAACATTATTCTACCTTATCAAAGCAGGATAAACATTTAGAACTTTTCCTTAAGAATCTGTGCAGAGCTGTTTTCCAACAGGAGATCACAGGAAAGCAGAATTCTTTACCAAACACAAACTGTTCAGTCCCCAACATCAAACCAAACAACATAAAAATACATTTAAAGGAAAAAAAAAAAAACCAAAACAAAATGACATCCTGAAGATAAGTGAACTGAACAAACCCCAGACAGTGTGTAATTCATCACCAAGCTCCAAACCTGTTGCCTGTCATAAATGGTACCAGTTGTCATTGTTCTTACCATTTGAACTATCATATTTCACATTACTGTGGAAATTAGTCCACTAGCATAAATCACATGGGCTTTATTTTTCTTGCTGGCCTGTTAGCAAGAGAACCGAGGCAAGACATCATGCCTTGCAGAGTCATCTTTCATTTCTCCTGCCACCATATACTGCGTACAGCTCTGCTGGTTCAGGCAACACCAGTCTAGGACATGTCCAAGCTCACCTGCAAACACCAACCTTGCTCTTGAAATCTGCATGATGTAGCTAAGCCCAGAGCCCTGACTCTTTGAGGTGTTTGCTCCTGAGTAGAGCCAGTGCAGACAGGGCATTACCATTGGCCTCCCTGGGCATTGGATGCAGCATCTGATAGGAACCTACCTTATGGTCCATAAGGTTATCATCTGTCTCATCAGAAGAGCAACTGAGAAATAACTTGATGCACAGTTCCGAGAGTAAGTCTGCTCCTGCTGAAGCCAGTGCTAGACTTGCCCTACTTTTGGATTCTAAGCATATTCATAACCACAAAACCAAAATATGTCCATACCAGCAGTCTTAGTGATTTCAGAAACTCCTTAGGGAACTTTCTAATCTCAAGTGTAATTTTCTGGCTATGGAAATATCAAAGAGGAAGGAAAAATAAAAAAAGAAATCAAAACAAACCCCAAATTCAAAGAGAAAAGAGACTCCAGAAATAGGCTATAATGACATTTTCACTCTCATCTCACAAAAGTATGAAGCCCTTCTTATATAGGGCCTTCTAAAAAGCCATCATGTAAGACGCTGAAGCAAGATATTGAAGTAGAGAATTTTGTGGCAAAATGAAATATAAGCAGTTATTGCCAGGCACTTTATGTTATTAGCATTCTGTTTTCTAGCGAAGGTTTGGATTTTTAAACCATGTCATATATTTTATTTAGATGCACCATATAGACACTAACTTCTGCACTGAAGATTCATATATTTCCAACTATGCAGATAAATAGATGCCGATAGGTTACATATGATGTAACCACAAAGAATTTAAAAGTCAAGAAGTTATGCAAGAGACTAAAGTGATTTTGAGTATGCCTAGGTATTTGGGCCACCCAAACGAAACACTTTGTCTAGTATATGGTATTTCAGGGACAAGTAAGCTCTGCTTCCTGCAAATGAGACTCCTTAAACCCTTCTCAAGGGGTATCTCAGATTAACCACTGGTTTCATAAGTTTTCATTTCAAAGATTTCATTATCAATATAATGTTATATAGTATTACAGCAACAGTAAGATTAGCTGTGTTTGCTCCTAACTACTTGTGTTTTCATAGCATCACGATGGTTAATCTGGCCTACCTTTTACTTATGTTTCTCTTAAAAACATTGATCCAGCTACTGATATTTTAGCTATTGGAAGAAGTAAACGTGGTCAGAGTAGGCTCAAGTTCACACCTGTTCTGACAATCCTTACTGAGATAAAACCCACGGATACAGATACGGCTTAGTCACTGCAGGACCTTTCTAGACCTCACATCAATCCTACTCACTGAACGTTGAATATTTGTAGGAGAAGAACATGAATCATACTGCTCACATATGAAGAGAGGCTGAAAATGTGGCACCACAGTGTGCTAACACTATAAAGTACCAAAAAGGTAAAAGTGCTTGTGCTGCAAGGTGGCCACAGCCCTGTTGGTGAATATTTGCTTAATGGAAATGAGAATGAATCAGGAAAAAAAATAACTGAAACTCAGAGTACCACAGGTTGGAAAGCACAACTCTGACTATGCAGAGCAAACAAGGACACCTTTTCCTTAGGACCAGCAGGAAAGGGACAAGCTAGAAATATGAGGTTACAAAGTATAAGAAAATAGATCTTAAAGAGAAGAGCTTGTTTCTACCTTTCTTATTTGAGATAATTGAGTGGGGTTCAGTATTCTTGTCATGCAACATGGAAAACAGTGACAACAGACTCTCAGCCCTAAATCATTTATGTATTTAGTGACTGAACAAGTCAGCTTTTTTTAACATTCCTAATCACTTTCGCACTTACTTCTTCCTTCATCTTAAGAACCAAAAACTATTCCTTCTTAGTATTGTCTCTAGCATTTAAGATAAAGATAAAGCAACAATCAAAACCAAGAAATACATTATGCTTTTCTATATTCTGTTGAAAAAA